GTAGTGCAGAGTATCCCCAATCTCAGTTCGATTCCGTTAGTCTTAGCTGTGCTGGAGCTTGCCACACAAATGCATGGTTTAGGGGCCAAGCCAGAGTTTAATGCGAGAACTTCCCCTTTATGATGTTTTCCTTTCTCATTCCCCCCGCCCCCAACTCCCACCACACACACACACTTTCTGGTGGCTGTGGTTGCCCTAAACTGTACAGGTAGAAGCATAAACAATATTGGTAATATAGTGTGTGCAGTGATTCAGTAATAATAATAGTAGCTGACATTTTCAAGGTGTCTATGTGTCATATGCTATATAACTGTATCTATCTACTACTGTCTTTTAATCTACAGTACAACAGTCATCGCTGGTAGGCATCCATTTTATTAGAGCGAGAAACTGTGCATCAGAGAGGTGAGCTGTTTGGAGTATGGACCTTCTAAGAGGCAGAACTGGGTTTCAGATCAGGTATTTTGACTCATTCTCCTGTTAAGCATACATTATGCCTCTGATGTCTATTAAGTGAGAGGCCTAGGATTTAATCTTTAATTTTTTTTTCCTGTTTTCTTCAGATGGCTTTCTTGGCCATTGGTGTTCTACATGGCTTCTAAGTAAGGATTTGTTATTAATCATTCAGTTCAGGATCTGTAGTTCTTCAAATTGAATATTCACTTTTTTTTTTCCCCATTCTGGAAGGTTGTTAGCCATTATCTCTTTGACTGTTGCCTCTTCCTATTTTCACTAATCCCTCCTGGAATTCCTCTTGGGTTTATTTTAGACCTGAGCATTCCATTGTTCATGTGCCTTAATTGCTATCCCAGATTTCCAAATCTTTAGTTCTCTGTGTGGAGTTCTGGGTGATTTGTCAGCTCAATCTTCCAGCTCACTAACTCTCTCTTGAACTGTGTCTAAACTGCTGTTTAAGCCAGCTACTGAATTTTTAATTAAATTGTCTCTATTTCTCATCTCCACTTGGTTCTTTTTCAAATGCGCCTGGTCCTCCCACCCCTCGCTCTCCTCTTTTTTCATTATGGTATCTACTTTAAAATCCTGTTCATTCTATGCATAATTATTTTGATAGTCTATTTTAGATTTTTTTTCTCATATTTCTCATCTTGGGGTGCAAGTTCTCATTCATTGTATCTGCTCTCTCTTCCTCTGGGTGGTTTGTAACCATGTACAGCTTGAAGGTTGTTTTTTTTTTAATTGCATATTTATCTTCAGCAGGAATCGTGTGATGAAGGCACATGCTTACTGGATTGTGAAAATCTCTTTAGAACAGCCTGTGTGCTTCTGCAGACACACCTGGAGTTGGAATAATTCTGGACAATGAGCCTCCCAATTGCTCAGTGAGAGAGGCTCCTACGCTCTGCAGGCCGGGTCGGTCTGGTCTCTGCTCCCATGGGTCATGTGAGGCTATGGTTTTGATTTCTCAGGAGCGACTGTCCTTTACCTTGCTCCCACCTTAACTGTCCCCTTTCCACAGCTGTCTTCTATAGGGGATTGGCTTCAAATTCACCACCCCTCTCTTTTATCCCCAGAAGTCTACTGCCTTAGACCTACCTGTGTGTAGGTCTTAAATGTTGACCGTAGGGTGTCAGCTTCTGCTGAGCAGTTGTTTCCTAGCAACACACAAATAGTTATCTTCCAGGGGGCTGCTTTGCTGGTCTCTGTGGCTGCCTCCCTTCCCCAGCCTCCTCGCACTTGCTGCTTGGTGGCTGGGAACCCGCTAGGCGGTCAGCCGCTGCCGCCCTGGGCACAAACAAGGAGACAGAGATCTTCTCTGAGGTATCCTGGAACTGGGCTGCTTCTTGTCCAGCACCTGAAAACTTTCCTTTCATTGATCCTCTCCGCCCCCGCGCCCCTGCCCCCGCCCCAGCTTTCTGCTTGTGTTAACCTGGCAGGTTTTTTTTAACCTTCCTGCTGGAAGCAAAGTCTTTTCTTTCCTTGTTTCAGTCACCTCAGAAGCCGTGACCCTTCCCTTTAGCTTTGTTGTTCTCTCAGCTTTCATCTCCATAGGTTTTTCTGCTCATCTCTTGAAAGAACACTGGGCTGGAATGCAGAACATTTAGGTTCCAAGAATCCCAGTTTTTGCTGCTGGCAGTGGGGGCCCTGAATTTTAAATGAGGGAATTTATCAAGTCATGTTCTAAGATCCCTTCTTGCTTCTTTATGATTCCATATTATAACATTCTTTTTTTTTAAATTTAATATTTGTTTTCATTCAAGTTTCTTTTGGTGTTTCTTCATTTCAGTACTTTTTATTGAGCACCTGTTACTTGTCAAGTGCCATACTGGGTGCTGGGGTGACAACCCCTCCATGGAGCGTTCGGAGCTACTGGAGGATGAACACAAGCAGTCACAGAACCTGGTGCCAGCATCTTTCTGGGGATGTGGGGTCAGGACAGGAGAGCTGCAGCTCCAAGAGGGATTGCTGCCAGAGACTGACCTTCCCCCAGAGGCCAGGGAAAGGCTGTTTTGGACAGCACGGCCCAGGTTTGGGTAGGGCGTAGGGATTAAGAAGCGATAGTTTCTCAGGCAGTGGGACAAAATCATTGAGACGAAGCCTTTGGTGCATTTGAAGAACTAAGGGAAGGCCTCAGTGGCTGAATCCCAAATCGGGAGGAGAGAGGAGCTTCTTTGAAAATTAAAATTAAAATTTTGGTTTCCTCTCTGGTAGTACAACATAGTTCAGCGTCTAGAGTCTGACTGAGTTCAAATTCTGAATCTGTCACTCTCTAGCTGTGTGACCTTTGGCAACTTTCTTAGCCTCGCTGAGCTTCAGTTCCCTTAACAAAACCAATACGGTATTGTCAGGGGTCAGCGAATTACTGCTCTACAGAGAGCTCTTAGCACAGTTCCTGGCTTACAGGAAGTAACCAATAAGGTTTAGTTATTATCTGATATTTTATGGCTTATGGCTTTTACTTCCATGTATATAATTTGTGTAGTTTATATAGTTAGTATAGTAGAATCATTAATATTTTCTAATAACAACTATTCTTTTGTGGAACTAATTGCTAGGTTCTCTAGTTCTCTGATAAATAGAGTTTCCTGAAGAAAGCGTAGATATTGTCTGTTACTTTTAAAAGAGGATTTCTTAACCCATTAAGTACACAATTGGGCCTTGGAGAATCTTCTGAAACCTGATCCTTAGGAAAAGTTGTGTTTCAAAAGAGTGTGTGTGTCTGTGAACATCATCAGGTCCCAAAACTGTCTGCCTTAAACTCAGTGTCTTGAATCCCACTCCGGGCTGAGTCCGCAGTGCTCTGTAAACGCCTGTGGGACGCAGGCTGGCATGTTCCCCCTGCTCCCCAAAATGCACTGAAAAAAGCTCATGCAAAGCACCTGTGGTTGGGGGGGTGGTCCTCCCCATCAGGGATCCTGCAGAGAAATGATGGTTGTTGATGGTGTCACACACATTATTTCTGCAAACCTGTAATTCTTTAATAGAGTGCTCAGGGTCACTGTTACACAGGGCGAATTTTTAATAGGCTCTAATTACTAGCCTAAAAGAAGTAGTTCATAAAAAAATGTGATTAATGTTTCAAAGAGGGACTTCCCTGGTGGACCAGTGGTTAATACTTTGCCTGCCAACTCAGGTTGTGAGAGTTCGATCCCTGGTCAAGGGAGCTCAGATCCCCCATACCTCCCCATCAAAAAAACCAAAGCATAAAACAGAAACAGTACTATAACAAATTAAAGACTTTAGAAATGGTCCACATATAAAAATCTTCAAGAAAAATAAATGTTTCAAAGAACAGTAAGCACCTAGGCACAAACTTGTCATCTCTAGTTCTCCAGTCTGATCAGTTATTGCCTAAATTAACCATGGTTTCTCTGTCTGCCAGGTAGGAATCCCCTGCCTTTCTGCGCCAATAGTGCTTCTTGCTCAGCTGCTGCAGTGCTGGGGAAGGGAAGGAAGACTTTCCACCCCTGAAGCGTGGATTCGTAGAGGTTGGTGTCTAGGCTCAAGGCCGGACCCTGAGGGGCCAGATCTCACTGTCTTGACACACACGAACTCATTTGTTCCAGCATCCAGACAGGGCCAGGGTAGGGTGTAACACCCACCCCGCATACTAGAACACGGGAATGTAGACAGGCTGTCACTCTGGTCCCACTGCCGGTGCATGGTAGTTGGCGGATTCATTCCATTCCAGGGACGTTTGCTTCAAGAGCCCCTGAGCTCAGCCACCCCGCTACATTGGAGGGAGGGGGTACCTGCCCTCAGCTGGGGGGACGGGGGAGTAGGCTTGAAGAGGAAGAGTCAGCATGACAGTGGGCTTCTCCTGGAGAAGGGCATGGCAACCCACTCCAGTATTCTTGCCTGGAGAATCCCCATGGACAGAGGAACCTGGCAGGCTACAGTGTATGGGATCGTAAAGAGTCAGACACAACTGAGCAACTGAGCATACACGCATAGGCTCCTTTTTGACCAGAGTGAGCTGGAGGCACCGTTGACATTCATGTGGTGGGGGTCAGGTTGGGGGCTGCCAGGCCAGGGCTTGCTTGATGGGGATCGATGTCATGGGCTTGGAAGTTGTGTAGTGGGACTTTCAGACCGAGAGAAGATATGGTGCTATGGACCTGCCGTCAGATTCTTGCTTAGGTGTTAGACTTCTTTCTCTTTTGACTGTTTTAAACCATCATGTTTACGTAGAGCTCCATGACTGGTTTCATAGGGGCGAGTGCTTTGTGAATGAACATCCTCTGTGTCCCAGATGGCGGGGAGGGTCCCCCCCGACATGGAGGGTCCCCCCCACGGTGGTGAGAGGCGACTTGACATCAGACCTGCAGCAGAGAGGGGAGGTGTCCAACCCTGTTCCACGGCTCTGGTCTCATCACCTTCTTGTGGGTTAGACACCTGCCCATGTCATCTCCCACGACTTGTCAGCAGCTTCAGCTGGAAAGACCCACGAGAGCAGAAGGCATGAGACTGGCCACGTCTTATCCAGGTGTGACCTATCCAGTCGTGCGAACTTACGGTGTGGTCCCCTTCTTCCTCTCCAGATGAATTTGAGGACTATGGCTCTGACTGCAATGGCATGAGGGTGACAGCTTTCTTGGACATCCAGGCCAGGACAACCTGTCTCCCCTAGCTCATCTGCAAAAGTATGCTTTTTCAGCAGTCACATCTTCAACTGGTAAGCTGCACCCAGCCTCCGTGTTGTTAGGGGGCCACTGGCGGCCACGTGTCTGTGACAGCTTCGTGGGAGCATGTGGAGGAGGAGGGCTACAGGCTGTTCCCTGGATGCTGGGACTCTTGTTAATAGGCTTTCCCATTAGTCTTGTCACTGTTTTGCTGACGACCTGGTAAGCCAGGAAAGGAGATGGTGATGAAATATAATGGGGTTTAAACAATCAGGAAGGGGGAAGCATCGGTGGGCATGCCGCTCACCTGCCTCGTGTCCTGATGGCACCAGGCTCCTGGGACCCTTGTGCTGCTTGTCCTGCACGTTCTGCTGTCACTCCTCATGATGCTGGCAGGACCCTCCCCCAGGCCCAGCCCATGCCTCTTCCCTGCAGCAGCTGACGCTGACTGTTGTATCAGAAAGCTGAGACCTGGCTTGTCAGTTCACCGTCCGCCCAAACCTGTGTCTGCCAGCACTGCCCCCACCTCAGAGAGAAGGGTGTGCTCATGTTCCTGGCATCAGCTCTGTCCCCCGGCTCCTGTCTCCTCCTTCTCACCCTTCCACCAGCCCTTTCCTTCCACTTCTCTCACTCGGAACGGTCCTCTGGGCCCACCTGGGCCTCCCGCATCTTCCCTGAAGGACAGGTTCAGTCAAGGCCGGTTCCTACTCTGTTCACTAAGTGTCTTTTCTAACTTCCACTACTCTTTAAAAAATTATATTCTCTGCTTTTACATCTATTAAATGATAGACGGCTCGCAGCAATTGCCACAATTATCCCAGTTTTACAGATGGGAAAATGAGGGTACTCTGAGCCGAGTCTTTGATGAGCTGCTCTTCATTGAAATGTGGTCCACGATTCAACAGCTTTTTCTTTTAGCGTTGCTGCTCTTCACATCCCATGTAAGGTACTAGCGTATTTTCCCACCCTGTCTTCTTGAAAGTTTATCGTTTCCCTTTCACCACGGATCCACCATCCACCTTTAGTTGCTCTTCCTGTTCCTGTCTGATGCGAGGAGGGAGCCAAGTTTCATTTCCCCCTACAGTCTCTGGTTAACCCAGTGCCCTTTATTGAAAGCACTTTGCTCACTGAGCCCTGCCGCTTGCCCTCTTTGCTTTCTGTCCGGTGTCCCCTTCTGGACTCCCTCGTCGGTTGCATTGGGCCGTTTATCTGTGGTCACACCAGGAGCACGCTGTCTTCATCACTGCAGCTTTGTCATCCCAGTCTTGGTATCAGGTATAGGAAGTCCTTCCATTTTGTTCTTCAAGATTGTCCTGTCTGCTCTTGGCCCTTTGCATTTCCAAATGTATCTTAGTACCAGTTTGTCAATTTTAGAAACAAAACATCTGCTGCAATTTTCATCTCATTGCATTGCATCTGTAAATCAATATGTAGAGAATTAACATCTTTACTGGAGAAGGCAGTGGCAACCCACTCCAGTACTCTTGCCTGGAAAATCCCATGGATGGAGGTGCCTGGTGGGCTGCAGTCCATGGGGTCGCTAAGAGTTGGACACGACTGAGGGACTTCACTTTCACTTTTTACTTTCATGCTCTGGAGAAGGAAATGGCAACCCACTCCAGTGTTCTTGCCTGGAGAATCCCAGGGACGGGGGAGCCTGGTGGACTGCCATCTATGGGATTGCACAGAGTCAGACATGACTGAAGCGACTTACCAGCAGCAGCAGCAACATCTTTACCATACTTAGTTTTCTATTCCTTCCATTTTTTAAGATTTTCTTCAATTTCTCTCTGTGTATATACGTGTATATACACATATGTATAACACATACACATAAATAACTATAAAACTATAACACCTAGTTTTCTGTTGTAGAGATCTTTCATATCTTGTTTGATTTAGTTCTAGGTGTTTGATCTTTTATGCTAATGTAAATTATATCACTTCTTAGAAGTTATGGTTTTTGCTGACCTATGAAAGTGGAGTTGATTTTTATATTTTGATTTTGTCTCCGTTGATTATGCTAAGTTCACTTATTAACTTTAAGAACTTCTCTGTGGATTTGCTGGGTTTTTTGCATATTACAGTGATGTTTGTTTTATTTCTTCCTTTCCTATCTTGTTTTATTTCTTTATTAGCTTCCTCTCATCAGCTTAAGAAAATTTGTATTTCTGATTTGTGTCTCTTTATATTCCTGTTTTGCCAGGAGATTATTTTTAAAGCTTTAAAGATAGCCTCACATTTTTAGGAAAGTTTCACAAATGGTGGAAAGAATTCTTGTGTAACTTTTACCCAGATGTGTCAGCTGTTAATTCTTGGCCACATTTGATTCATATCCCTATCTTTCCTTTCTGTTTCTCAGCTATATAAGAATAAGTTGCACACTTTGTGTTGCTTCTCCTTTAAATCCTCAGTGTGCATTTTTCTAACAAGGACATTCATCACTCACATAATCCCAGTACAATTATCAAAATCAGAAAATTTAAATTTGATATAGTACTGTCATCCAGTGAATGGACAAAGGAGTTTTTTGTGTATTCTAGACTTCAACCCCCTCTCAGCTGTGTATGGTAGACACCCTCTCTCATTCTGGGACTTATGTTTTAGCTTTCGTTATGGTGTTTTTTTGGTGACCAGAAGTTACTCGTTTTAATGTAGCTAAATGTATTGTTTTCTTTTATCCTTAATGCACTTTGAAGTGTCCTTAAAATGTCTTCCTCTACCCTAAGATCATAAGCATATTCTTTCATATTGCTTTAAAGTCTCTAGTTGTTTTTTTTTTTTCTTTCACATTTAGGTCTGAAAATGTGAAAGAGCCTTATCTTCCTAACTGTCATAATTTATTGTTGTTCAGTTGCTGAGTCGTATCTGACTCTTTTTGTGACCCCATGGGCTGTAGCTCTCCAGGCTTCCCTGTCCTTCGCTGTCTCCCAAAGTTTGCTCAAACTCATGTCCTTTGAGTTGGTGATGCCATCCAACCATCTCAGCCTCTGTTGTCCCCTTCTCTTAAATCTTTCCCATCATCAGGGTCTTTTCCAATGAGTTGGCTCTTTGCATCAGGTGGCCAAAGTATTGGAGCTTCAACTTCAGCATCAGTTCTTCTGGTGAATATTCAGAGTTGATTTCCTTTAGGATTGACTGGTTTGATCTCCTTGCAGTCCAAGGGACTCTCAAGAGTCTTCTCCAGCACCACAATTTGAAAGCATCAATTGTTCTGTGACTTCTTTTCAGTCCACCTCTCACATCCATACATGACTACTGGAAAAACCATAGCTTTGACTATACACTTTTGTCAACAAAGTGATATCTCTGCTTTTTAATACACTGTTTAGGTTTGTTATAACTTTCCTTCCAATGAGTAGTGTCTTTTAATTTTATGGCTGCAGTCACTGTCTATGGTGATTCTGGAGCCCAAGAAAATAGTCTGTCACTGTTTATACTTTTCTCCCTTCTGTTTGCCATGAAGTGATAGTACCAGATACCATGATCTTAGTTTTTGAAAGTTGAATTTTAAGCCAGCTTTTTCACTCTCCTCTTTCATACGCCTCAAGAAGCTCTTTGGTTCATCTTCACTTGTCACAATACCACTTTATACGTCCTCTCCCCAGTGCCACCTGTTACGATTTGGTGTCTGTTCATGACTGTCTGGACTGTCTCCTTTCCCAGTGGTCCATTTGTCTCCCCTGCAACCAGAACCACAGCATCTTGATTACTATAGATTTGTGGTAAGTCTTTATATTTGATAGAGAAAGAATTCTCACCTTGTCTTTCTTCTTTGGCATGACTTGTTAATCTTGGTCCTTTGCATTTCCACATAAATTCCAAAATCAGCTCATCAGTTTCTAATAGAGCAAAACAAAAATAACACCTCTTAGACTTTTGATTGGGTTCACATTGAATCTTTATGTCAATTTGGTGAGAATTGTCCTCAATACAGTACAATACTTAGACTTCCAATCCATAAACATGGTATATTTTTCCATTTACTTAGGTTTCCTTTAATGTCCCAGTAAAATTTTGATCATTTTTCTAGAACTTTTTATGTTCTTTTGCTAGTGTGGTGGTGGTTTAGTCACTAAGTAGTGTCTGACTCTTGGGATCCCATGTATGGTAGCCCACCAGGCTCCTCTGTCCATGGAATTTTTCAGTATATTTTAAGGCAAATCTAAGATAATATATAATTTTATCCAATTAAAGACATAAATATAACTGCAGTATCATTATCACACTCCACAAAACAATAATGCATCCCAATTTCTCCTGACTGTCTCAAAATGCCTTTTTATGGTTGGTTGATTTGAATCCTGATCCAAATAAAGTCCACACATTTCATTATGTAGATGTTGTCTCTCAAGTCTTTTTTGTTGTTGTTGTTTATAGTTTTTTTTCCTTTTGATATTAAATCTCTTTTACTCTTTCATTGATTCTCCCTCTCATCTTCCCCCTACATCACTTATTTGTTGAAGGGATCATTAGTCTTGCAGAATTTTTCACATTCTGGATTTGTGATCATTATTCTCATGGTGTAATTTAATGTGTTCCTTTGTTCTCTGTATTTTCTGTAAACTGAAAATTAAACCTGGAGACTTGATTAGATTCTACTTCAATTTTTTTTTAAACAATACTTCATATTTTTTTTGTGTATTTCTTATTACAAAACATCGGGAGACGGGGTCTGATTGTCCCACTCTCAGAGCTGTTACTATTAAGCAGTGGGCGCAGGTGTCTGATTCTTTCATTACAAAATTCCCCACCAGCCTTTCTTCTAATGATTTTAGCGGTCACAAATAATCATTGCTTAGATCTGTTATTTCATTGTCTGTTGGAAAATGGTAATTTTCTCTCTGTTGTCTACGAAATCTGTAGTATAGCCCCATTTTCCATCCTGTTGTTGGCTCTTGTTGTCTTTTCTCTTTTTTCCCCCAGATAATTCTTTCCAGAGGATTATCCATTTTATTAGTTTTTTTGGAGAATCAACTTTTGCCTTTGAATTTCTCTGTTGTATGTTCGTTTTCTAGTTTTCTAATTTTTGCTCTAACCTGTATATTTTCTT